CAATTTTTTTTTGCTTTTTTTCAAACCTGATCTGGGGTGAAAAAATTTTTTAAAAAGCTTTCAAATTTTGGGGAATTTTTTAAACTCACCTGTCACAAAGTGGAAAAGGGTGAGCTTTTGTGATCCTTTTCGTCCGGCGTTTTCCCTCCGTCCGGCGCCGGTTTGTTTCCCTTTCCCTCGTCCGTCGCCTTGGGGAAATTTTGCTTTTTAAAAGACATCTCCTCAAAAAAACCCCGAGCCAATTTAAACCAAACTTCACAGGAAGTTTTCCTTTTGGGGGTCACCTTTAAAAAATTTTTCAAAGAATTTAAAATTTCCCTTTCAGAACTCTTTTGCCAAAGGCAACCGAAAAAAAAATCTTTAAAAATCTTTTTTTAAACAACCCCAAAGAGCTTTTGAGGGTTAGATTTTTTGGCATGAAAAAATTTTTCTAAAAGAGGCTAACCCAAGTTTGCTTCAAATAAAAGCCCTGGGGTCAAAAAATTTGCCCCCCCCCCGGGGGGTCATTTTTTCCCTATATGGATTTTAAAGTAAAAACTTAAAAGATCTTCTTTTAAAAGAACTGTAAGAGTAAAAGCTAAGATTTTTTGGCATGGAACATCTTCTAGTGAGGTTCTACCAAGTTTGGGTTCAAATAAAACCCTGGGGTCAAAATTGGGCCCCGCCCGGGGGGTCATTATTTTTCCCTATATGCATATAGTAAACACTTAAAAAAATCTTCCTTTAAAGAACTGTAAGAGCCTAAGTTTTTTGAGCTTAATATTTGGCATGAAAACTTTCTAGTGAAGTCACCAAAGTTTGTTCAAATAAAAGCCCTGGGTTATTTAGCAAAAATTGGCCCCCCCCCAGGGGGGTTCATTTGATTTTTCCCTATATCATTTAAAGTAAAAAACTTAAAAAAAATCTTTTTTAAAGGAAACCCAAAGAGCTTGAGTTAGAATATTTGGCGAGAAACCATCTTTCTAAGTGAATGCTCCAAGTTTGTTCAAATAAAAAGCGCCCTGGGGTCAAAATTGCCCGCCCTGGGGGGTAATTTGATTTTTCCCTATATGCATATAGTTTTAAACTTAAAAAATCTCTTTTTAAAGAACCGTAAGAGCTAGAGCTTAGATATTTTGGCATAAAACATCTTCTAGTAAATGTCTACCAAAGTTTGTTTCAAATAAAAGCCCTGGGGGTCAAAATTGGCCCGCCCCAGGGGTCCATTGATTTTCCCTATATGCATATAGTAAAAACTTAAAAAATCTTCTTTTAAAGAACTGTTAAAGAGCTAAAGCTTATATATTTGGCAATGAAACATCTTCTAGTGAATGTCCTACCAAGTTTGTTCAAATAAACCCCCGGGTCCTTCAAATTGGCCCCTCCCCAGGGGTTCATTGATTTTCCTTATATGACATATAGTAAAAACTTATAAAAATCCTTCTTTTAAAGAACCCAAAGAGCTAGAGCTAAGATATTTAGCCATCGAGACATGTTCTAATGGTGTCCTTACCAAGTATGGTTCAATAAAAGCCCCTGGGGTCAAAACTGGCCCCGCCCGGGGGTCATTGATTTTCCTTTATTAATACATAGCAAAAACTTAAAAAAATCTTCTTTGAAAAAACCCAAATAACTAGAGTTTAGATATTAAGCATGGAAACATCTTTAAGTAAATATCTACAAAGTTTGTTCAAAATAAAGCCCAGGGGTCAAAACTGGCCCTGCCCGAGTGTGTGTCATTGTTTTTTACTCTATGTGTATAGTAAAAAACTTAAAAAATCTTCTTTTAAAAACCCCAATGAGCTAGAACTTAGATGTTTTGCATGAAACATCTTTTATGGGTGTCTACCAAGTCTGTTCAAATAAACAAATAAAAGCCCTTGGGTAAAAATTGGGGGCCGGGGGGGGGGGGGGGGGGGGGGGGGGGGGGGGGCTATATACAGGTGAGCGACCTCAGGGCATCATGGCCTCTTGTTTTACAATTTGAATAATTATTCTTGAAAAACGAAGTGCGCAAATGATCTGAAATTTTTCTCAAAGATAAGTGGTAAAAACATACATCAAGTAGGTACATTAATCTAGAAAAATAAATTTCAGTCTCATCATGTCAAAAAAAACCTCAGTGGAGTTCCTTTTACACATTTTATCTGACAAACTAAATTTCATTATCTCCATATATTTAATCATTTATTTTTTATATTACATATATTTTTACTTTTATGCAAGTTTTGACAATAAAGTTTATTTAATCATGTTCTTTGTTTGCTATGACTTTAACAGCATGTACCATCAATTTCATACTAAACACAATTAGTTATGTTTGAACTTTACAAATGTAAGCACATGATGAGCTTTTACTTGTCCTTGAGTTTAAAAAAAAAAAAGTCTCTTCATTAACTATGATTAAATAATGCTTATGCATGGTCTTGAATTCCTATGAAGTAGTCATATAAGTCATGGCCGATTTAGGTCAAACTGAGTGGTTCTTTTGTGTGCATTAATGCCCTAGTAGTATTATCTATTAATTCACTTATTTACTATATTTAGTAACAGAATTGCTATGATTTCAACTGATTATGAGTGTCACAACTGTTATGGGGTTTTGGGGCCCTGGGCCAAGAACTAGTTTTCAGCCCACTGAACATGAGTAGTGCAAAAACGGAAACAATGACGTCACATTTTACGTCATCAAATCAGCTAGGTGTAGATTGAAGCTTGCACATATTCCTTTGTTTTTAATTCACACGCATTAGGTATTTCTATGAAAATTTCCTTCCAACAGTACTTTCAGTGCTTTGATTTTATAAACTTGTTTGCTTGAAAAAAAACCAATTTTGATGTCACTGATCTTTTTTCTACCGTCAATCTGAAATCATTCTAAGAATTTCTGAGGGTCATGTTTTGTCTTGGGTAGAGGGTAGAGTAATGTAACGTTTTATTTTTTTTCTTGAGATAATAAATCTCCAAAGGCCAAGCTTTGTTAAATCAATTAAATTTCAAAATTTCGTTCGGTTCCGAGAATTTTCTAAGTTGTTGGCCCCGGAAAAATGAAACGGATACGTAAAACATAGAATTGGATAAATACCGTCCAAGCACAAGAATTTAATGTAATTGTGTTTTGTATCAACTATACATCACGAATTTGTTTGAAAATTTTATGCTATAATAGCGTCAACGCACGTTTATTTCGTGTTATAAAGTCTGCAGAGTCCCTCGGAACTGTTGGAGCCCTCGCCCTACCGGGCTCGGGCACCAACCGTTCCTCGGGACTCTGCAGACGTTATAACACGGAAAAACGTGCGTTAACCCTATATTGAATGGTTTTGTCCAGATTTAAGAAAATTAGCATAGTAAGATTTAACAAAATATGTATAAGAGCTTCTTTTTTTATACTTTTCAGATACAATAAAAATTTTGAAAGAACAGTTGACAGATTCATCCATAAAAAGACAATCAATTAGCAAATGTATTAGGAACTCATTTATTGAAAAAGCTTGCAGTTTCTGTTGACATGAAAATAGATTCTGGCTATTCAGACAATTCTGAAGATATGCAGTGTCCTTGTGGATGTAAAACTTTTATAAAAGTTGGCGATAATAGCATGGGTATTGATTTGTTCTTACTTGTTTATTATATAGATCTATGATAGTCTGTTATCAACAGATGGATTGTTAACACTCAATCATTCATAGTGATTGGTTCTTTATGATGATACCTTGCTTGAGTTCTGAATTTTATCATGAGGGATTTAAAACAAAATTTATCATTCATTATAGGTAAAATCAGGAAAAAAACGTGAGGGGAGCTTTTGTGATCACCTGATGTATGTCATTATCCATAGTTTATACATCATCTCCTCCTGAACTACTGAAATAATGGGAAATGATATGTTGTCTTTTAAAAAATTATATATGAAAGGTTCCAGAAATTTAACATTGATCTCAGCCCCAGTTCTACTAAGCAAGAGATAAACCCGCATATTAATTCACATGTTCACATTTTTACAATAGTTTTTCATACAAGATCAGATGTTTAAAACTGATTTATGTTTATTTTGTTAAAAATAGGTCATGAAGAGGTTTGGCATGGCAGTGTAGACATACGAGTAGGTCCTTTAGCAGTCACCGTTACTAAATCAAGCATTGATGAAGAAAATTCAGAACTTGAAGGAAAAGGTGACTCAGCATTTGATCTTGAAATTTATAAACTGGAGGAATTACGGCATCAGTTGATTCCAGAAAGTATCATATTTTCATTTGCAATGCATTGTGGGCTTGTTCCTATAGTTGGACTATCAAAAGAAGACTTTAAGATATTTTTATATGACCCGAATGAAGATTTACTTTATGAGTCAACTGAGTTTCCATTATTTGTTGAACCTATGCCTATTGAAGGGAGACAACTACATATATCATCTGTAGTTGCTTTATGAATGGTAATTAATTATGACTGTTTCTGTACGGGTGTAAAAACGTCTCATGTTGAGTTTGGGTACAAAGCTAATTTTAAGAAGTTTCTTGGAGAAAAACAGCGTGAAATTTATGAACATCATATAAAGATTGGTGGTTTAAAGAATGTTGAAAGTGATGTCAGTGAATATCAAGCTGGAGGGAACTGTGGAAAATTTAAACGAATCGAAGAATTGTTAGCTTAGGTAAAATGATAAAAGTGAAGGACATTAAATGTAGCTCTATTGTTCAAGGTCAGAGCAATTGCGAATGAATTAGTGTCATGTTGCCAATACCCAGTCCCAATACACAAAGCTATATAAACGTCTAGGTGCATGCTTACCATTTTTTGATTTTTGTCCAATTTGCTAAATTTTGTACAACATGCAGTCAAAAATATTTCTACATACTCTTTAAAAAGGGAGACAGGATAATTTTTTGTTCATTTCAAACAAGCATAATTGATATGTTAATGATTTTCCAATTTAAAAAATTTACAAGTTACTAGTTTCTAATTATTGCTTTTGTTGATTATTTACATGGCATAGATAAAAGATATAGGTTGACTATTAAAAGTAGGGTTATCCTTTTCAGTAACATTTTGGTTAACGTTTTATAAAAATTAGGTGCAACTTCTTGTACATCTTGATATCACATCAACCACTATAACCTTTAAGGTACATTCATGAATGTTCTACCAACTACTTGATGTTTCTTTGGAAACTTAATGCATGTGTTTTGCAGATTGCATTTTGGAGTAACAAAATTCATGTGTCATTATCATAACCTGGTAACTGGGTGTCATTTTTGTTTTCATCTTTTTTTGTATGAAATCGTCTCTTTGTTAATTTCTACATTATCCAGACTCTTGTTTCATTATCAAGCATTGAGAATGTTGAGCATGCTATCTGACAGCTCTTGTTTATTTTACTAAGTATATTATTCTCTGTTCCACATTCAAAGATTTTTTCAAACTTGACACAAGACATGAATATTATTATGATTGAATATTTGTATCTCATAAGAATGTTATAAATCATTTTGTTCCTTTCATTTTAAGAGTATAAAGGTGATAGAAATATGAATAATTTATCATAATAAAAGTAATTTTATGCCCCCATTCAAAGATGGGCACATAGTATATGTACATTGTACATGTTTCTGTAATTGCCTTATCAGTACATCCAAAATTAAATATTTTATTGTGTCTGGATTCTTTCTTGGGATTTTTCTGTTAACTTTGTCAAATTTCCCCATAAATTTTTTTAATTTTTTTGAAATAAATAATTTTCCAAAAAGAAGCATATTTTAAAAAAACTTTTTAAAAAAAAATGCTCCAAAACACAAGCTAAAAAACCCCAAAGGTCCCTATCTGAAGTTCAAGGTCAAACACAAAGGTAAAAACCAAAGTTTTGGGAAGTCTAGTTAGGTGTCGGGTCTAAATCAAAACACAGATTCTTTCTATTGTAATCATTTTTCTTCGGGGGCAAAATATCCCTTACCCTTTTTTTAAAAATTGTCTGTTTAAATTTTAAATTTGGGAAAAAAGAAAAAACAAAAAACAAAAGTTTGCCCTTTGGGGCGGGAAACATTTTTATTAATTTGCCTGTATATTATAAATGCCAAATACATATCCATTTGTACAAAATTTTTTAGTATCAAAAATCAAATGCAGCAAAAAAGAAAAATTAAAAATTTTAAAATTAAAACATTTTTTTCTTAATTTTGTATCTTATTCAAAATCATATAAAGTGAAATAATCTTTCTTTTTTTCAAATATTTCTGTAGGAGACTATTAAAGGAATTTTAGATATATCATACTAACTACAATGTATATACATTTTAAACACTTTTGTCAGTCCTTGCAATTTTATTCTTATATTTGTAAGTTTACTAGTACGACATTTCTACCCCCCAAAACACAACAATATGTTCTTTTGTCCAATTCCTTTTAATGGTATAGGTGTCATCTTATAATATATTAAATTATATTAATTACATGACATAAGTAAATGTTAATCACATTTTTGTAAAATTATATACAAATGTACATGGTTTTAGTCTGATACAGAAGTAGATCAAAGGAGCTAAAATTAGACTTACAGAATGAAATCCTTAGAAACTTCAGAAGCAATACTATGTCAAGAACGAAGATATTTGGCATGAAGTAACTTGAAACTTTTAAATTTTTTAACTTGAAATTTTAAAAATCTTTATAAACGATTACCATTCCCTACGGGGTCACTTAGTAAACAATAGACATGTATAGAAAAATGACATTTAAAATCTGCGTGTGTGAAACTACAGTAACTCGCATCGGATTAGTAAACCTAACAAAATAGCAGCATCTTAAATCTTGTGTGCAATCTACAAAGTTATAAGATAATTTCCATGAGACAAATTTGGCCTGACGCTGGTATAAATCATGCCCATGGGACCATCGTGGGATTTACATAGACTTGGTATCTTCTTCTCTGAAAGTGCATTATCTTGAACCTAACATAATCGCTTGCTTGTAGTATTAAGTAAATTCCGTACCCAAGGGTCTAAAAATTACGTCCTTTTCTCAATTGAGGGTTAATTTTACAGAAAAAAATAACCGGTTTCCCTCTGAAACAAAAAGGACAGTGTTTAGGGGACTTCTATAAATAAAGGGTGTCAATCAATGCCTGGGGAAAAAATATGCCCCTGTCGTGGGTAAAAAATTCAGTTTTCCGACAAATTTTTGGGAAAGGTTGAAATTTGGGGCATGTAGCAATAGCTAAAGTGAAGTCAAATTTATGTGTATTATAAAATATTCCCCGGAATAAAAAAAAATGATTTCCCAAATGACCTTTTGGGTATTAAAAGAATTGGCCCTTTGGTCAAAGCAGGGGGATCTGGGTATTTCGAATTAATCGTGGCCCTCTTATTTGATACGATTTTTGGAAACTTTTGACAGTAATTCTTTTTTTCTAGGCAATCTAAATGCCTTTTGTTTGTCTAAGCAGAGGCACAGTGACAATTATACCCTGGAGTTTCACTAAGCCGTAAGTCAGAAGAGTTATACATTTCTCAATACACAGAGAACGTGTCGACTTAACAAAATGGTGTGTTCAGGAGAATATTTTTTTAGCATTTTGACTACAAATATACACATAATTTATAAGTTTCTGTAATGATAACGTCGATGTCAAATAATGTTCTGTGCTACGTCCCAGATACATTTCAAAGAAAGCATTATTGCCCTTATCTGGTACAATTTTGCAACTGTGTTTAGTAAATCATTTTTCATAAATTTGTCTTCCGGCAAACAACAGTCCCGAAATGAAACAGAACCCTGATGTTGTAAGGGAAATCACCCATCCTGCATGGATATCACGTGGTTGGTTGCCTGGTGTATCGACATATTTATCTGCATAGGTCACGGTTGCTACCCAGCCCAGCAATCCTGTAATAAAAAAACAATATTGAAGACACAACGCAGATTCAAGTTTGAAAGTCAATTAAGTTTTCTTTGAAGTATATTTAGTATTATTTACAGTATAAATCGATATACACTGTACGTTACCAATAAACAATACAAAATAGTATGAAACTAATTCAGTGATATAATTATACAGTCAATCACCGATGAAATGCGCTCCATATAGGTGTTTGTTTCTTGGCTTGCTTGTGTGCGTGCCTGCGTTAAAGTCAAACCCGAACTGGTTTATTTAATGGTAGATGCAGATTTTAATTCATATGCCAGCGGTAGAACCGACCTTTTGTAAGTTAGCGCGATTTAAAGCCACAGCGAAGAACGATTAGAAGTCCCATAGCAACATAAGAGATCCCTGCGTTACAGTGTAAGCTTACGAGGTAGCACAGAGCCATATTTGTTATAAAAATATCTGGAGGTAGTAAGGAGATTTGTACAGATTTGCTTCCAGATCATGATATTAAATTAATCTTAAAGAAAGACAATTATTTGAAAAAACGCTTCTGTTTATACTTTTCAAAACTGGGATTAAACAAGGTCTAAATATTTTGACGTGCGAAAGCTAGACTTGTTTGTTTGTTGTTTTTTTTTTTCGAGGTCAAAATATCGCTTCCAGAGGTGTTATGTAGCCCATACATAGGATAGTAGTTCAATTACTTTGATAAGGGAAATATATTCATACAAAATGTTATGGACATTTAACAGGCCTTTGAGAGCACCGGACCGCTGAGAAAACCGGACAAAAGGCTCGGTCCAGTCGCCGTCTGGTTTCCCCAGCTTGCACTGTAAATTAATAACACGGAACGCAGAGACTTTGCTTTACTTTGTAAACAAATAAACAGTTATTTTACGAATGAAATAATATCGGTGCTTATAATACCGTAACAAATGGAAACTGTGTATGGTTAATGCATTAACAACGTTGAAAAATATAATTATAGACATTTGACGCAATAATTATTGATCTAGAATTGTCAGTTCTTGAATTATTCAGAAGTTTTTCAAATGTGCATCCGACTGTGATTCGTCTTAAAAGGCTTGGTGTATTGGACTAAATATCAGCAACCTTCTGTGAACGTCACTTCCCGTTATTTAATGTCACATAAATATTTAAGTTAAATATTCAGAGTTGCTAATCAAAATGTTTACTTGAAGTAGAATTTATTATTCCCGATTCCGCGATATCTACTCGTTTAACTATTCTCTGTGTATTATGCTTTGTTGTATGAACGCGTTAATGGAAATTTTATGAAAAATTAAAAGTCCTATTTAAGTAAAATCCAGTTTATAGATATATATATTACATGCCTACAGATGAGCCAAAATGTTTCAATAAAATCAAACTTGAGAAAAACTTGAGAAAAATGTACTAAGATTTTAGGAAACGTAAAAAGATTAAAATTCAAGTAATATTTTACATGTTATGTGCGATTAATGGCTGTTTTTCCAGTAATTTATATCTATATTTCTACTGCGTTACTAAGGCAGTAAGGGCTCTTTCTGCATATTTTAATCTCTTTTTGGTGATTAACATGGGTTGCAAGTGCTATTGATAATGTGTAAATGCCTCTTTTTGGTTACTCTACAATATCATACTTTGAAATACATTCTCAAAACTTTCACGAAAATTAGCATGAATCTGGAGGCATGCCGCTTTAAAACTAAAAGTGGTTTCTGTTATACTTAGGCACTGTATTTTCAGAGGAATCATATAGAATTCGACATAATATGCGCACATCGTTCTTGCTCTTGCAATTATACTTTGTCAAATGATATCGTTACAATTTTCAATATTATATATTGGTACATTTACGTGTACTTTTAATACCTTTAATTGGCATCCAACTTGTAATTTTTGTTTTGTTTGTTTTTGGTTTAACGTCACATCGACACAGTATAGGTCATATCGCGACGTTCCAGCTTTACCGGTGGAGGAAGACCTCAGGTGCCCTTCCGTGCATTATTTCAGGCACGAACGGGTACCTGAGTAGATTCACCGACGTTCCGTAAGCTAGCTGGATAGCTTCCTCACATGAAAGAATCCAAGTACCTGTCGGGAACCCACAGAGGTGAGGGGCAAGTGGTTTGAAGTCAACGACATTAACCACTTGGCCACGGACGCCCAACTTGTAATTATTTAAATACTATCCCATTATATATTTTGCGTATCATACTTGATATAGGCATGGATTCAAAACATAATTTCAAAAACTAAGCAGCTAGTAAACTGTTACAATTAATTCCATTAATATGTCTCGTGACAGTTTTAACTCAATCAAACACTAAACTATACTGATAATAATGTCTATAAATCGAGCAAATATTCTTCTGCATCCTTAATCCCATAAGATAATGTTTTGATTTTTTTTTTATATATTTTTTTTCTCAGAAAATTTAGTTTTGGAGGCGTACAGCTTGAACAAAAATGATTTTATCTTAACTATGAAATTGCTGTATTTTGGAATACCTGTTAAAGAGATCCGCACTAACGAAAGAGTTCTGACATGCATGTTACATATCGTTTAAAAATATGTTAAAGTTATATATTTAATTGAGTAATATGCAAATAAATTTATAAATTGCCTAAACATTAGTTTTTCAAATTTGTAGGCGTGCAGGTTAAATAACAGAGGTTATGGAACTGTCTTAATGACCAATATGAGAAAAGCCTTAGCTTATTGGTCTATCTAGGTCCTTGCCTCACAACCCGGAGATCCAGTTAAATGGGTTCAAGCTTTAAATTCCAATACCGATGTTGGCTTTTCTTGTATGATACCAGGGTCTGAAGCTAACATGAAAATTTCTTAGATAAGAAATAAGCACAAAATGTGTATTCGGCCAACGAAATAAAGAAAAAAAGTCAGTGATTCGGGACGAAATTTAGTAAAAAAAAAAAAGTTTAATAACCTCGAGGCCGGACTGGGACTTGCTAATCGAGTTTTTCTCTCAAAGATGATAAGCAGTCTAACGTTTAAATGTTGACACTGTGACTAAAGCTTATATAAATTTGTTTCTGTTACACAAAAGAAGATATATGTGTTATTTAAAATATATTTTCCTAACAAACCTGCAAAACATAGAAGAAGAGGTCCGAACACTGTAAGAAGTATCAGCTCTTGTACAAACCATCTTTGAACAACCACCGCCACCAGTCCTAGTGCATGTAGTAGCAGAGCAAATATCAAAAGACATCGTGACGTAACTATATATCCTGAAAAAGACATCGTGACTTAACTATATATGCTGAAAAGAACTACGTGACGTAACTATATATTCTCAAAAGGCAGCGTGACCTTACTTTATATTCTAAAAAAAGGCATCGTGAAAGAACTATGTAAATTCTGCATGAAAAGGGCATCATGAAGTTACTATATATTCTAAAAAAGACATCGTGACATAAAACGACGGAACTTTATATTCTGAAAGAATATATCGTGGCGCTACTATGTATTCTGTAAAAGGCAGCGTGGTGTAACTATACTGTTTTATAATTATTCTAAAAGAATATATCGTGGCGCTACTATGTATTCTGTAAAAGGCAGCGTGATGTAACAGTTTACTATACTGTTTATTCGGAAAAGGGCATCGTCACGAAACCTTATATTCTTAAAAAGGGCATCGAGAGGAAACTTAATGAAGGACAGTTGTTGAATATGTAGAAGTTTATGTGAGATTTCAGCTATCCAAATAAAATATTTCGAAAAGTTATTGTCTAAGAAATAGAAATGCATGTAATTCACTTTTTTTTATTGCATCAAACATAAAGATAAAATAAGCTCTATACCTTCGGGGGAAGTATGTCTTCGGCATGCCGTTGAAGAATCGCCATCGATGTCCACGGTCTTTTGGCACCATTTCCACAGACCAATGTTCAATTTCCATGATTCACCGAAGAAATCGTCTTCTCTAAAAGCCCACCATGGCAGCACTAAGGCAACAATAGCCGCTGGTATTGTTAGAAGTGCTAATGACATTCCTATCTTTAAACATGGCTCACTAGATGGCATAGTGTCCAGATAGGAAACAATAATAACAAAGCAGAATACAAATATTCTATAACGCTATTTGAGTACAGTTACTTTACACTGGACCGGAAAAAAATTACATGAAATTGTATGTCAAATCTGGTTTCACTTCCAACTCTAAAATATTGGAAATTCACATGTTTAACTCTTAATATTATTTATATGAGCTTAGTATATAAATTCGGTTTCTCAAAAATATATATAAAGAACGAAATAAACAGTTTAATCTTTCAATATAACCACAAATTTGTATATTCCACAAGTGATCTATTTCCTTTGTATTCCAAGAGTGAACTGAGAAAAAATCTATGGTTTCCTCAATAATTTTCAAGATGTGAACTTAACAAATCTATGGTTTTTGCTATGTAAATTCCAAAGGTGAAGATGGGAAAATTAATGGTTTCTTTTATACACCACAAAGGTGAACTAAGTATCAATGTTTTCTTGTACTTTACATTGTAAATTTGAACTGAGAAAATTTATGTCGTTTTATTCCTCTTTATATTAACAATTTGAAACGAATATTCTGATTATGTATTTCTTTAAAATTCCAAACACAAACTTTGACCTGAATAAATTCTGTGGCTCTAACGTCATCGATTTATTGCGGTATGCTAGGGTGTATTGTTCTTGCTCGTTATCCGAGAAATTATGACAACTTATTGTCAATCAACTTATTGTCAATCGTTAACATCATTTAAAATTTATTAGTTCAACTAGTACAGCAACCAATCAACATTTTGCTTCAGAAGTTAAAGGAACTCCACTGAGATACAAAAACTCTTCAAGCATAAAGTTTAAATGCCTTACATAGCTTAGCTAGCTGGAGCATTCAAAAACGGAAATACATTTATTATACATACAAAAGATAAAAAAGATATTTTCTCAGAATTAAACTGGAGATAGTATCTTTAGTCGAGTCTTAGCTTGATTTGAGTTAAGGGTGTTTTATGGGCCATTTTTCACAATGAAAATAATTATTCTTGACAAATGGGGTGAGCGAATGATTACAAGTTATTGGCCAAGTCACTTGCCACAAATTGTGAAATCTCGAAAAAATATATCAAGTCCAGCACGTCATGTAAAAGGCAACAACAACAAACACACCCCGGCCCCACACTACCATAAATTATGAGCAAATCGACAGGTGTCTATGACATATATCATTCTGCAGATACAAAAAAAAAATCAGTTTGCTATACAAAAATTGAAGTATTGTGAACAATATCGGATAATCTTCTATTTCTAAACGTTTCATTATTAATCAACAATACTTTATTAAATTCCCGACAACACTGTTTTGGACTTGGTGAAGATTTTTTTCATGAAAGCCCTTCTTGCATTCATGGTTTTTTTATTGATTGGGTTTTACGTCACATAGTATAATTATGTCATAATTATGGCAACATTGCAGCTTTACTTGTGGAGGAATACCTCAGGTGCCATTCCGTGTATTATCCTTGGCACGAACGGGCACCTGGGTAGAACAAGCTAGCTGGATAGTTTCCTCACATGAAAGAATCCAAAGTCCCTGTCGGGAGTCGAACCCACAGCGGTGAGGGCAAGTGGTACTTGCACGTATAGTAATATATTTACGGTACTTATTAATTCATCTCTACTTTATAACAATATGCAAACTCTGCTTCGCAAGAAATGTTAACAAAATTAAACTTTATTGGTCCAAGTGTCACAGGTAAAAAATGTTGAATTAGTTTTTGGGGAAACAATAAAGATGGTAAAGTACAAATATGCGTTGTCATCTTTAGATACAGGGATAAAATTGTTGTGATAATTATGAAAAAATATTCCGTATTTTTGCATTAACGAGTTAAAATTCCAACAGAATATTTCATATTTTAAATAGTTCAGTTTCTTTTGATTCTCGTGAATAATTAAGATATGTATTGTTAATGATCAACATTATTTTTTGTCCAATCACATTGTGCGTAGTATTTTTCAAATTTCTGCTAAGTCTAACTTTGACTTAATCTGTCCTCTAACCAGTCTAACAAATTTCAGTAATGCATTATATTAGGGAGGAGTTAGAGGTGTGGTTTACACTCTGAATTGTAAAATATCAAGGTTAGCAGGCCTTTCTCAAATTATATGCATACTTTACATTCCATCACCAGAGAGAGGCTAACAGGGCATGAATGTAAACAAATAATGTCTGACCTGATAAGCCCTAGTGTGTTAAACTTACTGGGGAAATCTCATTTTTATTCCACTCTGTTATTCCAATTCTAGATATAATTATACCGTTAATTTTCATAAAATACCTAAGGATGTGAGTTTAACAAAGGAAAGGATTGTGAAAATAGGATGGATGAAAGAACATTTCGAGGTAAAATACCATTGTTCTTTTCTTTTTAAACCAAGCTACTTAAGTTGTATTACTAGTACTTACATTAATTACTCTCATTTCTCATTGTTTTAAATGTTTCATTTATATATACATAACAATATGTTTGTTCATAAATTTCATTTAAAATATCACACTTATAAATATAATGATAACATTTAAAAGAATCTAAATCAATACCATTTTTATACTAAAAAGCAATAACGGTTATTTTATGTACTATTTCAGATCAATAGTTTGCAATAGTTGCTCGTTTTGAAGCATTTCACACAATAAGATTAACAATCATGGACATAAATTCATATATGTCTGAAGAGAACAGAATTATGTACCCTGCATGTAGATGGTTCGACTGGAGTAATAATCAACAGAACAATAAGATGAACACTAAAGAAGAAGATTTCATTACCAGATGAGAGGTATACACAAGACTTAATTTTCATTTTTTACACATAAACAAAGTTCAGCCCCTGTAACAAAATATATGTGCAATTAAAATATAAATCGATATATTCTAGAAATGACATAATTCTTGTTTCCACTTCTAAATAAAAGGTATATATTTTTCAGGAACTCCACTGGTAACAGTCATGAACACAAATTGACAATTGGTATTTGAATCGCCTTTAATTGTAATATCTCTTCATGGCAGTGGCAAGAAACTATCAGTTCAAAGAAGAATTACAGAACACTAAGGAAGAAAACAAACAGTGATATTGAACGTTTGATACAAACAAAATTTCAGATGTTGACAGTTGTATATTTTGTAGTGTTATACAGGATTTCTATCAAATTTTACTACATATTAATTACAGTTTTCAATAGGAAAATCATTAAGAGCGTTTATTATGATGCAAGCAAAACAATCAGCTTGACTGGCGAAATGTTTTTAGCATATTTTAAAGGACCATTTGTTCAGTCTTTTAGCGCCTTGAATTTAAATAAAAACTTTAAAAGAAATCATCGCATTACTTTGTTTTTTAACATTGTGCTTTGTTACATATATGGTGCAGGGAATATGTCAACATGTTTATTACATTTAATATTTTGTCCTCTTATTGCATTATATTGTTGAGAGAATATGTCTTGGAATGTTAAAAGAAGTGCTAAAACTCGATGCTGCCTTTCCTAATACCCTACAACTGCAAGGTATTGCGCAGGTTTTCTGCGAATGTTCAGTCCCCTATGTACATGGAATATTTGGGGTTGGTAAGTCCAGGCAACATCCTCTGGAAGTGCCGTGTTCCCTAATGATTTGTTATATACCAGCCAGTTGAGGGTTCCAACAATATGACCACATAATCAAGTCGGACCAACTGGACAAGTGCAATAATCTAATGATACTTCAGCTTCGTCTTAAGATTTGACTGATATTTGCAATTAAATGATTGTATTTCGTTATATACTAAATATTTTATACTGTAATTAATTATATAGTCGATAATATATAAATTTTACGTTCCTTACTAAGCATGAAATGTATTTTTACATTGCTGTAAACAACATCATGTGTTATGATGCTGAAAATCCATTGAAATGTATAAGACGGGGTGTCATGTTTAAACAAAATATCATTTTGATTTGATTATGCTGTCTGTAAAATTAACCAGTTTCTAGAGCGTCATCCAGAATTTTTTATTTTTAAATACAAAGTGAATAAAACTTTTTAAAACTTTTAATTTCAATAGCTAAATTTAGGGGAAGTATGGTACAGAATTCAGCATCCAACTGTTTACATCTATTATCCAACATGTGTTGAGGTTAGCAATAAAATACTGATAACGCAGATAATGTCTATTTAAGTTGCAAAGAGTTAACCTGATATTTATACTGACAAAGAATATTAGAAATTACTTGGAATTATCATAAACTTTAATTGACTTATCAGGTCTTGTATATCGATCCTTCACTGTGTATAGTGTAAATTAAACCCTTTGTTGATTTATTCATCTCCAGAAGAGATCTTTTAATATGAAATATAGTTCTCAACAAGTATGTAGCAAACAGAACATTATCAAGATATCTGACACTGTAGAAAAATCTTTCGGCCATATATTCGTGATATGTTTACATAGAGCAGATACCGCAGCTTGCCCTGTTAGCCTCGTTCTGAGAAATCTATGAATATGTATGAGGCAATATTAAGAAGGGTGTTTAATAATATGCATTAACAAAAATAATTGGTCGCCTGCCTGCGGCAGGCTTGACCAATTATTTTTGTTAATACATATTATTAAACACTAACCTATACTTAAACGTCACAGCATTTCTTCAATCGTATAATTTTCGATTCTTTATTATTTATTTTTCATTTGTTTAAATATTCTTTATTTTTTAAAATTGATGCTGAACGATCGTGGTCAACAATAACAAAAGTTATCAATGAGAAGTCAATTAACCACATTAACCCATTTGAAGGTTAAGTGGATGGAAGAAAATACATGAATGTTTGCCATGCAATACGCGTAAATTAAGCTATTTACTAACCGAAGTAAATGAAATTAACGATACATTTATATTAATTTCCCTATTTTTGAAGTCAATTTAAATATACTTGAAAAGAATCAAACTAATTTACGGGTTGCAATGTTTTACTCAATACTGTGCATATCATTTTTGTGGACTTTCCTGTGCATTGTATATAATATGCTCCCTAAAATAATTTTAGCATTAACTATACATCAGTCATTTTTCGGGAGGGGGTGGGCAACAGAGGCATGGTTTACTTTTCAACTTTCCGTGCACTACAGAGTCTATACAATAGATTTGGCACCATACACAGCTGATTGTCCCCTGCATGCAGAACGCAGATTTTACTACTACTTTACTGGTCCCGAAATAAACTTACGGTTATGAATTAGCACTCGAGTATGAAGTTCTTAAGTTCTTGAAATCAAGTGCTACATTAGCCAGAATTGTCACCACAGTATAGTAATGCTTAAACCATCTATCTCTAATTTGTAAGGCAGACATCTTGTAGAGGGTGCGTTATAGGCATTATTAAGGGACACGGGCATTTGGCTCATTTGTCTTGTAAATCTTATTATGTAGTAAACGGGTGCTGGTCTTGGTGATCAACGGGAGATTACTCTGATTAACCAGTACTGGCATGACAAATACGCCGAATGTCTGTGTTAAGGAACATGCTATTTCTCTGCAAAATTAATATTGGTTAATGAAATTATGAAAAGCATGACTGTGTACACCTGAGAAAGTTATGAGTACACCAGAGGAAAAAAAAACCGAATTAATGTCAGTTTTCTTTAACTTTCCTTTCCATAATATTTTCAAATATGACATTCGATGAGTTCAAATAAAACCCCACATCTAGTAAAATTCACTTCTCGAACGTCAGCAAATAAAAGAAACATGTCAAATTTGTATCAGTGCAACAATGTGTATTTTTGTTTTCTATTTATAATTGTGACAAAATTCTATCTGATACCTGAGAAGAAATATAAAACATCCTTACATCTAGCAGATATACATTACATAAAATAAATTTCTCAATTAAATAAGACATTCAATACAACAGTTATTCCCTCTTTAGCAATACATTTCATAACATGATGAGATTGTCATAAAAAAAAAACATTACTAAGACTAGGGTACAGAATTAATATAATTTTAATCAACCGCAAGAAAAGTGACACTGATAAACTCTATAAATCTCGAAAGTGTACATAATTTCGAAAAGTTTACATAGCAACCCTTAAAGCTGCACGCCTCAAGATGAGCCAAAATATTTAAAAAAATTCAATCTTTAGAAAAATGTATTAAGATCTTAAGAAAAGTAAAAAGATTCAATATATTATTAATTATTTACAAGTTATGTGCGATTAATGACTGATTTTGCAGCATAAATCACTATAATCTACTGCGTTACTAACACAGTAAGAGGTATTTATGTATATTTTGACCTCTTTATGGTAATTTACGTGGATTGTAAGTGCCGTTTGCAATGTGTAATTTACTTTCTTTGCTCACTTCATATAATTTTACTTTTAAATACATTTTCAAAATTTTCATGAAATTAAGCATGAATCTGGAGGCATGCTGCTTTAACTGCTGGAACAAAATAAGATTAGTCTTTCCAACCAGCATAGTACTGAGCTGTCTCACCAGGCAATGTTACAGTTGCCATTGGTAACTCAATTTTTGTATTTTCATAATAAAATAACTTTGAATGGATCCAAATTCAAAGATAGGCAATTCAATTACAGAAATTCAGCACATTAAGTGTGCAATATTAATAATCCATTACACATATTTTTTTGGTAAATTCATTACACATGCATTAAGTATATGATCACAGTTGCTTTGGCACCTTTTCCTTCCATTCCTTAATTAGTGAGTAATATAAATGACTTTACGCAAAACTTATCCATGAGTGAAAGACATTTTTTTTTAAACCTGTATGTTGCCACATTTTTTACAGTATTATGAAGAGAAAATGTGGTTTTTTTTTAGTCTTAAAATCCTGAATATTCAAGAATCATCCCGAAAAAATTTCACCAATGTTTTTACATGAGATTTTTCATTAATTCCTATCCTTATCTTTCTTATCTTCTAATTCTTTCATTCCTTTCTCCAACTCCTCTTTAAATCTGTCAGAAAACCGTTTTCCTCTTGATGTGTCTTCAATTGAATTAGGGTCTCTCTTTAATTTTTCAATACCTGAAAGAAAGCAAACAATCTAACTTTTTTATATAATGTAACTCCTTTTGGTTGTGTTAAACTTTACACCAACACTGTAAAGGTCATATGGTTTTTTTTAGCTTCAATGGTGAAGACAGACCCCTCATGCACTATTTTCCAGGAAAAAAATCTGACAAGAAAAATTTTCTAAATTAATTAAGTAGCCTCACTGGACATTGAAAATTAAGCAGTTAATCACCTTAATTTCCAGAAATGAAATGGGTGAATTTAAATTGAAACAGTTAATTAATTCTCAATTCAGGGAATAACCCCTGTAACAGACCTGTCCTTTTGTCAATTTCTAAGCAGTCCATTGACAAATCAAACTCAAAACAAGACAATTTAGCCTTACCACATTAAATATCTAAAATGGACTTGTACATATTTCAATCTGGACAAATCCATTTATCCTCTTTAGGAAAATTTCAAAATATGTCCTGACTGAATAGTGTACAGTGCAGAACAAGATCAGATGGCATGGATGTACCAAAGGAACATTCTTGTGAAGTTTGGATGAAATTAGCTTAGCCATTTATGAGGAGATGTTGTTTAAAGTAAAAGTTTACGGACGGCCAGACGCCGGACGAAAAAGCAATCACAAAAGCTCACCATGTCAGAAGAGCTAAAAATTGAGGAAAGCAATAGTCAAACATGATATAGAGAATAATAGGTTGGTGCCGTGGATGGAGAAAGTTTATCTGGCGAGGCGGAGGAATTTATTGGGTGAGCCGAAGTCTTTCCTGTGACCGTTTTTTTTAAAGAATTTTATTAGGCAAACTACCTTTAATCACACTATCGGAAATGTTTCTATATAAACAAAGATGGCCCGAAGCGTGCATTATTCTACAACAATGCACTCGCCGTTCTTATTATCTCCCTGTGTATTTTCACATTGAGGGCGCCATTTTGTTTGAAAAATGTGATAAATAAAAACAATTTTTTGTCGAATTTTGTTGTGAAAACTATCTAGAATGAAAGAAAATGGTCTAACTAAGAAAATGAATTCGAACACCAATATCTTTTATTCAGTCGTTAACGCTGTACAGACGTTTAAAGTATTGTTTACGTGACGTCACAATGTAGCGCCAAACAGCACGTGCAAAACAATCAAATCAAGTACGCTATTTTAATGTCGCAAACGAGTTAAGTTTTACATTTATTCACTTTTAATAATTTTTATTTCGCTTGAAAAATTATAGAGTGAAATAAAATAAACAAACAAAGTTTTATCAACGTTTCCAAAATTCGTTATTCTACACACAGAAGATTTAACGAACGTTTCTATTGGAAACTCTGAGGCGAAAACAAATTTAACCACCAAATATAATAATAATTATATTTTTTCTTGAAAAGTAGTCCGGCAAACCATGCATACCACGTGATCAAGTGCCGTAGATCAGTAAAAATATACGGCACCTTGTTATCGGGCCGAAATTGATACAAGTGACAGGATAAATACAAATATGCATTACCTGTTTCTTTAGCCCTTAAGAACCAGTATACTGTCATTCTAGCTGCATAACGTATTGGTCCAGTTTCTGATAGCTACAATAAAATGATAAATAATTTATGAGATATGAGTAAAGAATCTTCAAATCATGTCTATTGCAAAATATTTTAAAATATAAAGTGCATCATATTTTAAAATATGACAAACCAGGACAGTAAGAAAAATTAAAACATATTTGATAGACTTATGAACATTTCAGTGTAATTTTGTATATACACTTTTCCCTTCAACGCTGATTTGCAATAATGACTTAACATCTTAGTAAACTACTCATACATAAAAACACCAGGAGGCTGTCTGCCATCTCAACCCAGATATCAAAGGTCTGAGCTATACTGGGGACAGATAAGCACATTCAAGAGTGACCAAGCCGGAGTAGTTGAAATAAGTTCCAAGCTGTCATTAAAGTCATGAAGTAATTAATGTGTTTAAACTTAAATACACTTGCCACTTAAAAAGATATTATTTTGAATAATAATTAAACAAATGACATTGAGGATATTTGGTCAGAGTAGACTACGTACATGTAGTTCTGACACCAAATGAACACAAGGATTATTTTATATTAGCTCATCAAACATTTAGTAATATTTTTAGTAATATTTCAAATAAGTGTGTGAAGTTTTAACCAGCTTGCATGCAAAAACTTAACCAAAGTTTGACTGCGACTCTAACACCTGAATGTCTACAAGACAGCTCTCCCTTTCCTTCTAATAGGTCAGGCTAATAAATAACTGATCATGAAAAAACCTTACCTTCTGGATAAGTTGCTCATTATGGGTAAAGAACCTGAAACATAGAAATGCATAAAAATTAATTTCAGAAAATAAGATACACTACAGTTTGCTATGTAAATAAACTAAACAAAGCCGTGAAAAGGGCTGTTTGTGCCTTTCAAGCTGTGTTTCAACGGTTGCTAATAGCTCAAGCACCCTTCCTCGTTGTCTCTGGAATATTTCAGGTCCACTCACTTCAGCTTCAGTTAAGACATTGGCGGCTAAAACTAAGCTGCGTCACCTTAAATGTAAGGAAGGGGCTAGTGGTACGGGCACGTATGGCTAGCCAAAAGTTCTTCATCAGTCACATACCGCTAGCCATTGGCACTTTTCAAAATTATATGAAAGACGAAAATGCACATGATATTTTGTGTCTTTAAACAGCTAGCCACTTCCTAAAATTATGTTTCCCTGAGCAAACATGCCATCTTACATGTTGCAGTGGATCTTCAATCATCTTACGATTCCCTGTGCCTTCTCTAAAATTTGCAAATACCAAGGGGAAAGAGAAGCTGAGAGCATCCCCCTTCCCGTTTTTTCTTTGAGTTCATGTTTTTAGCATGTGTTTAGTAAAACTAAAAGTTCACACATAGATCTAATAGAGAAGCGTCTGCTACTCTCATACATTTCAGGTGTTCAAGGATCGGTCTATTCAATATGGGGCTCCTGTGATTAGACACTAATATATTATGGTATTTTCTGTATTACCTGATAAGGTATCTCCAGGGCATTTTACAAGACCAGCAGTTGAGTTTAATCCATTACATCATAGTTTGATAGAATTGTTGTTGTTATTGTTGCCCTACACGTGATGCACATGTACAAACATAATCTAAGTTGTGAAAAGAAATATTTTCTATAAAATGAGATTCTGAAATAAAGTTATTTACACAATAGTGCCATCATTTTTTTTTTCATTTTTTTTATACATTATTTCTTTTTTTACTTGATAAAAAGTAGAGAACATTACGCACTATGGATTTTGGTCATGTGATCTCGCCATTTTGAATCATAAATCAGGAAGTACCGGTTTGTGACACATTTTGTTTATATTCTGCTTAATTTGCATTCATTTTAGGTTAACGATTGTCTATATAATTGGCCATAAATACACTGGTTGCATTTAGAAGAAGAAAAAAATATTTGCAAATTTGTGATAGATCTGTAAATGATTTAGAAACTTTATGGCCGAGCTGACCCACTGACACTGTCATTCATGACTCACTTGACTGTTTATATTTAGACCTCTCTCATTCTCAAGCAAAGTCTGTAAATTGATAATTTGATAAACATAACTTCCTCAGTGTAGTTGAAGCAAGCATTAAACATGTCTCACTCTAGTTGTCCAGCCCCGTGACTTTTACACTTTTACCTGTTTAGTCTTTAGACACAAATTTTTATTCGTCTGCTTAAAATATCTTGCAACGTTTGACCTGCAAATATGTCTATGTCATGGAGAGGGGTTACTAGGATATATATCTCCATATCAATTTGGATAGAACAGGAATATTTTATTGATTATTGGATAATTACATATAGATTTAATTACATAATAAAATTTATACAATTTATACCACATATTATTAGAATAATTTATTTTGAGTCTTTCAAGCACTGCATTCTTGCTTAAAATTATAATTTTGAAATTTGTTTAGTGTTAACTCTACAGCCTTTGGAACGGTTAGTTTTCATATTTTGTTTCAAATGGATAAAACTAACAATAACTGTTTTACTTGCATGCTGGTGATAAATAAAAAAAATTGCTTTATGTACACATAAATTTCTAAAACTAAAAGCCTGATTTTTTTTAAGACCAATCATGTAAGCTTTTTATAATTGGCGCTATTAAACATAATTATCTCTCACTTAAGTCTGTAAATTATAATTTCATCATCATTATCCAGATTAAAGGATAAACTTAGTCCAAACCTTGTGAATCACTTAATGTGAAGAAAATTGCCCTAGGCAATTACACTGCAGCATCAATATACAGCTAGTCAAGCATGAAGATGTCAAATTTATTGAACATTAATGTATATAAAGTGCAAGCATGCATAGCTTAATCGGTCAGAAAGTAAGACTTGTAATCTCGACATTGTGGGTACAATTCATGGGCTGGCAAACTAAATTACTAATCACTCTTTTGGATGAGACTTGAAATCGAGGTCCCATATATGAGTGCTTAAATACAATGTATTCGGCACGCTAAAGAACTGGGAGAAGCTTCTTGAATTTCTGTATCTTGCACTATCCTCCAAAAATCTAAAATGATTAAATCTCTAATACTTTTGTTTTCTGGAGTATATGGGCAAGTCTGGTGGCAAATATAAATGTAGATAAACTCAAATACACAAAAAAATGCTAATAAAGTTATATTAAAGTTATAATGACAAAAAGTCAAAACATACAATTGTCTGCCTATTTTAAAAGTTTCTATACTGTTTTTCATGTCCTGTAAAAAGCATAAGGTATAAAAAAATAGAGTAAAGATATGACATAGATTATAATATTTCTTCTAAGAAAGGGAGAGCTGTTGTAGACATTCTTCTATTTCTTTCTAAGTTGATTTGTCTACGATTGGCACATTTCGAATGTTGATCAAAACAATAGGAATTTATCATTTGGATATTCATATTAAAGATATCATTTGATAAAGAAAATGTTGATAAAATTCTAAGTGATAAAGCATGAACATTTATATGAAATATTAAAACATTTGATTCTAGAACAAACTATTATCTGCTTAGTGCTAATGCTATATATAAATATTACGTGATTCTCACACTTGCCAACAACATCCATACATAATTCATTTGTGGTTTGTTATTATGTTTGATACTTAATACTATCAATGCAATTATTTATTGAATTACAGAGCTTTAATTATAGACCAATTGTATTATATTAAATTTTGATTAAGCTGAAGCAAGATTTGTATTTTTTGTAAAATGAAAAAAAATTAACTTGAAGATTTTCTAAAAATAAAAAATTGAAAAAAAAAGTGATTGTCAAACTATTCTAACTTGAGTTAGAATAGTTTTGCACTGAATATATTATATCAGCAGATAGAATATTTTCTTAAAATGTGTAAAACTTTAAAATTAGTGGGAAATTAATTATGTCTTTTTAACAGAACATGCATTGAAGGAATTTATACAAGAAAATGTCAAAAAACCATTTTCTGAAAAATATTGAGTTAGAATAGTCTTGCGCTGAGCCCTCGAGTTAATATACATTTTTGTAGGCAAAAAATTCACTGGCTTTCTTTAATGATGACATCAAATCATAACATTTCAGTGTTGGACGAAATTCTCATCAAGTTTATTATTTATAATATATTCTTGTTTTTATCCTAATTAATATAATATAGTTTGGCTCCTGTTTTATTGCGAAATTGCCTAAGTATAATTACTCATTTTTAGTGTAAAGCTTGATGATATATTATACAGTGTAACTTCTGAAAACGGAACACTTGTGGGACTAGCCAAAAAGTTTGGAAGTTACACTGTATTATGAATTCCTGTTTATATAGAACCTTCACTCAGTTCTTCTTTCTGTATGTACCTCGTAATTAAAGTCTGTACCAGGTTTACTGTAACTGTAAAAGTTTGTTTCTTTGAACCCCCAGATTAGCTGGGAAAACCCAAAATATTCTTAACTCCAGAGTAAATCTATTCGAAACAGGTTTAAGGGCATACCCTATGGACCATGCTTGTGAAACTTTAGGGAACAGATTGTGAAATATTTTTGCCCCATTTATGTTTTATAGTATCTTTATCATGGCATGATATGCTTTTGTTGTCACGTTTTTACTTATTTAATCTGTAACTCTGCTAGATTACTATAAAAATATTTTATATAATTATCTTTATAATTGAATATTAGCAAAAATTTATTCCCTTAGCTTTGTCTTCAAATGCACACAAAAAAGAAGAAAGAGCAACAAATGTCATCATTGGGTCAAGTTTTAACTGTATTTATTATTCTACTAGTTTCGGTTGAACAACAACCTTCATCAGGAATATGAAATCAGAATTGTCTTCAAATTTGGTTCAATTTATTTCCCATTTGCTTTTATATAACAATAAAGTTTAATATTAACAATAAATGCACAAAGTTCAAAATAATCATACACTGTCTTTTATTGAGAACTGTATTAGTTTTAAAGAAACCACAAAGTGTAATATACACTATAATATTATTCATATTTTCTCCCAGGAAACAAATTAAATCCATAATTGTATAATATTTCTGATTACAGTATCATATATCGCATTGTCAATTGCCATATTGTATATCCTGGAAACCAGCTTCCATACCTCTGATCTGTCAGAAAATCTGATAATAATGTCATCACAGAATAGAATCATTGTTTATTTTAAAATCAACCATATGTTGCATATTCTGACATTGTATTTCACTGAAACAACATTTGTACAATGTACATTTTTGTACATCTAATTTTTTTCCTGATTTGCAATTCATAACAAAGGTACCGTAGGAAACAATTTTTTTCAGTTGTGTATTATTTATGATGTAATAATTATGGCATGTAATAATTCTTTAAAGCTGCACACCTCCAGATGAGCCAAAATATTTCAAGAACTTCAATCTTTAGAAAAATGTATTACGATCTAATGAAAAGTAAAAAGATTTAATATTTAATTAACTATTTACATGCTTTGTGTGATTAATGACTGATTTTGAGGTATCAATCACTATAATTCTTCTGCGTTACTAACGTAGTAAGAGGTATTTATGTATATTTTGACCAATTTTTTGGTAATTTATATGGATTGTAAGTGCTGTTTGCAATGTATAAATTACTTTCTTTGTTCACTTCACAATACATGTATTTTACTTTTAAATACATTTTAAAATCATGAAAATTAGCATGAATCTGGATGATGATGATGATGCTGCTTAAATGAGCTTTTTCAGTAATGATGCACAATTAATTGTGGTTCTGTAGTCAAAAATGGCACAGACTTGGTTCAATTTATCATTTTTTGCAACTTTTTCATATCAAGCTTATGTAAGCAATATTTTCCAGCTTATTAGATCCCAGAAGTCTGTTCAGTCATAGTTTTGGTAGCTGAATTTAATCATTTTGATATTGTAATGTCTTTCCTTTATTTAATGACCTTTTCCAAATTCAAAGCAGAGAAAATACTTTGTATGTAACACAAATCGTAAGGGATGTAAGCCTCAAGAAGTGAAAAAAATTTGGTCAGATCATGAGATGGTAAGTTAAGGCTAATCAGGTCGTCACTTAAAATCATTGGTAAAATTGTCTCACTAAAAGAAGCCAGGAATTGCAAGTTTGATCGCCCACTATTCCAATCAAATTTAATCCAATAACTACAAACATTCTTTCAAATTAGACTTTAAAAACCAAAAATCTCTTGCAATGATGCTAATTTACAGTCTGCACATAAAAGAACCAGTAATTGTTTCTAAATCCGGATAAAATTTCTGTATAAGTTATAAATGACTATAAAAGTATAAATTAAGTTTCCGTTGGTAACTAATTTATACCAAACATATGTCACATACAAGTCAAATCAATTCAGGTCTGTTCTTTATTATAATTTAAGTCATAAAAAATAATGTTCTTTTGTTAATTAGAATGTAAATGATTAAATTTATGCTTGATTACTGTTACTGAATCACACTAAAAAACGTACCGTAGTTATTAATAGAAAAGTTGACAGTTTTCTATAACAATCTGGTTTAAGGAGATCCACTGAGGTCAAAAAAGTTTAAACACATAAAATGAAAAAAATGATATGAGAGAAATATAAGGTACTCTGAATTTAATTAAAAAATAATATTAAGTTACTAGGTTCTTTGAATGATTTGAGTAAAAAGCAATTACATGTCATTTGCACAATAAACATGATTATTCTTGAAAAAAAACGGAGTGAACAAATTATCTGAAATTTTGCAAACAAGTTATTGATCTATATACCTACCTACATCAATTGGTATAGAAAATTGCAAAATAATATTTTAATTCCTATCATGTCATGTCAGAAAACTCCTTTTGATTCCTTTTTAATGAATAAAAAATGTATAAAATTTACTAAATGATAATAATTATAGAATGCTTAAATAACATATCACATGTTTCTAAAATAGTTATGTCATATTTCATTTAAACATTTAGTAGAAATTTTAACATTTTGTACTATTACTGTTTTTAAACATGTCTGAAACATAACTTATTTATTTTACATTAGCATTTCCTTACACGATGAATTAATTTAAGTTTTATTTTAGCACTTTTCAGATAACAAGATTGAAACATCCTTATAAATTTGTGCAAAATCAGAAAAAAATAAAGATAATCAAATACTTAGTGGCAGATCAGAAGCATATTTCAGTAAATAAGAAATAGCAATTACGGCAGAGTGTAGTAAGCATCTAATCTCGTAGATGACCCCTCTATGGACAGATCATTAATGACACTCGCTGGTGCTTTTTTATGTGACACGATTACCACTTGTGACTTAAACGAGCTGATTTACGTACATTTTCAGACAAAATAACAGAAGGACTTTGTTTCAGAGGCATTCCCATGAGAAGAATGTGGTGGAGACAAGATTTGCATGTATTAACCATGAATGATCGCAGAGAGTACGACATTTAAAATATCCGCTGCCATTTACATATTTATTGATCGGCAGGTTTGACGGAGGGATGCTGGATAACTTCTCTGTATCTTTACTCGAGCAGTGATTCATAAAATCAGTGAGTCATCGTCACTGAGAGGATTTTTTTTTCAAATTGTAAGTATGTATGTTTTTTATTTCTATTGAATATATATTGGAATATTTGTTGCTGTCATACATAATTATTGTACTTCTGTTTTGGAATATTTTATTATTTATTGATGCATGCAATTTTGCAAACAGGTTGTATGAATTGGAAAAAAAATGTAATTGAAACATATTTTTTATTCATATTGCAATTTGAAGAAATTTATATGTAAAAGCATTGAAAAAGAGGAAAAATTTGCAGGAAATAATTGAAAATGTAAGTTAAAAGAATAAAGAATTCCTTCAACAAATGAGACATATGGTATGGTTTGGCCAAATTGTGTATAATAAAATCTATTTGTAGATGATAGCAGGGGTGGATGCACACTTTCAGAAGGGTGTGGGAAGGGGTAGAGTGGGGAAAGTATAATTTTTAGACATTATGCAAAATAAAATATAAATAAAAAATAATTGGTAGTCTTTTGGGACTTAATAGATTCAAAGATACATTTCATGTTCCTGCTTTCAAAGAATAAGCTTAATAAAAGTGATCCTCAAAAAAAAATTGATCATCTACTGTGGGTTGAACCTTAGTCCATTTAAACATTAAATCTTTTGCTCTAATATGCACTTGTTAATTGCAGTGTTTTAGATTGTTCATAATATAAAGAGAACAATATAAAGATCAGAGCACTTTTTACTTGAATAATGGAATGCTAATTTATTTGAATAGTATTTATTTTAAAAGATTGAATGCAAATTCATTGATTGATATTTAAAAGATTGAAATGATATTTCATTATTATCAATAGTTGGAGACTTTAAGGGGAGGGGGTGGGGAATGCTCCCCTTTCAAACCACAAGTAGGAAGTATTATTTGAAAGAAAATAAAACTAAAAAAAAAGTATTCAATTTACTTTTATTAAAGCCACATTATGCCTAAAGAAACAGATCAAATTATGTGTCCTTTTTTTCAGACATTTTTTATAACTTTTAAATAATGGTTTTAGAGTAATTGTTAGATGCTTATAACCTGTAGATAATAGTGCAGAATTTTAAATTATTTGTAAAAAAAGTGACAAAATGTTAACAATTTGTAGTATTACGACTTCCATACAATGTACTACTATAAATTACTATAACAGTTACTAATTGCCAATAAGCAATGGAAGCAAAAGATGGTTTAAAGGAAATAATATTATAGTTTGTCAAAGAGTCAAAAAGGTGATGTCGTTTTCCTGGTTGACAGAAGGGGAAAAAAAACAGTTAGTTAAATGGGTCAAACCATTCACGCTTAATTAATTAGGCTAAAGGACATTGTTGAAAGGAAAAAGCAAAGAAAGGACTGCCATTCCTACAATACAATGTACATGATTGTAGTCACATACACCTTTAAAGCTACATTAAATAAATATGTAAAAATATCTTGCAGTAGGCCTAAAAATCAAACATTCTACAGTTTCATAAACCTGTTTAACAGTATTGTTGTAAATCTCATCAAATATTGTTCATAAATTAGGACTTTAAACGGAAAACCCCACGGAAACACTAAAGTTCGTTTACGAATTTTAACATGCAAATGAAGACTAAAATTAGCTCGTGTATGCACTACGTCACAGTTTTATAGTTGCTATTGGAACACAGCAAATAATTATGATATTTTCTTGTGCAAAACACTCTTTAACCATTGTAGCTTCACGGTGCACTAAGCCTGGAGTTCAGTGAAAGTAATCACCTCGTAAAAAGATTAAATTTGTATGAAAACATCCGTTATAATGCAGAAATATACCGTTAAATTAGGACTGCTACTTATAGTCATGTTTGTTGATTTAATATTGATGTACGGATGATCCGAAGGCGGAGTTTCTCATGCAAACAAAAATTGTATGCCAATAAAACTCATTTTGGTTGTCTGGACACCAAAATAAGACCTGGAGTCGATATAAAACCCAATTTATTAATGAAATGTCGCTATTTAGTTTTTTATGAAATTTATTTAATGTAGCTTTAACAGTGGCATCTGAGTTTTGTTTCCCTTGCATAAAATTTCATTTTGTATAAGTTGTGCTACCTATTGTTGATAATTTAATATATATTATTATTGATATATAGAGATACCACGGAATAATTAGAATAATATAACCTTGAGGGACAAACCCTTTTATCTATAATTCATTAAGTTAATTGGTATTAGAAACCAAGGTGCTTCAAATCTGTATTTGATGATGTAATTTATTGACCAACTATCAAATATTTATAAAGTTGCTGTCACATACTAGTTGACGTTAACAAACTTTTACTCAGGCTACAAAAATCTATTCCATTAATGGGCTTTTTCTGTCCTACTTACTACTTATATTAAATTTTGCTACAAAGGAATTTTGTAGAATCTGTTATACAATGTGTCCAAACTTTCTTGCCATGGTTGTAATGAAAGTGGATAGGGTCTGTTACAGACAAGACGTTAAGCTTCAATAGGTCAAAGGTTAAACTTAAATTTCAAGGTCTAGGACATGTTTGAAGGTCAAAGGTAAATCAGCAGTAGCCACATTTATGGTCCAAGATTAAAGGTAAGGGTCATATTTTAAAGTGTATGTGAAATTGATTAAGCTTCAGAGTCAAGGTCATATTTGAAGGTCAAAGTGAAATATATTTATATAAGTTAGAAACAGTAAAATAATGTTGTTTCCATGATCTCATTGTCAATTCTTGAAAGTGTTGAATGTCTCTGTTATTTAACTCATACCATTTGCCCCTCACCGCTGTGGGTTTGCATCCCGACAGGGACTTGAGGAAGCTATCCAGCTAGGTTACAGAATGTTGGTGGTTCTACTTAGGTGCCGGTCTGTGCCTGAAATAATGCACCGAAGGGCACCTGAAGTCTTCCTTCACCAGTAACGGTGGAAAGTCAGTATATGACCTATAATGTGTCAGTGTGATGTAAAACCCAATTAAAAAAGCCAACAATTTTACTCCCATAAATGTTGTACAAAAATTGAGTAAAATGGTATGAAACATAATATTAAAAGCTGTTATTTTAAGTGAGATTTTAACCATTTAGGAATAATTTCATGTATATATAGAGGATATTCAAGTTTTTTCTATAAATACATGATTTATTTTCATCGAGTGGTATGAAAATAAATATTTCATGAGTGGCGGTAGCCACGAGTGAAATATGGTAATTTTCATGCAACAAGATGAAAATAAATCTTGTATTTATAGAAAAAACTTGAATTTTCTGTTTATTATATACATTTTTCTCTTTTTTGACATTAAAATTTGAAAGAATTTCCCTTAAATTTTGTGTACTGGCAGAATTTAAAAGAAAGTAGTCCGGCAAGACACCAGTGAAAATACGGAAAATATGTTTCACTGCAGTGAAAAATAAATTTTTACAGTGAAAATATGGAAAATGAAAATACGCATTTTATTTCATCAATATTTCTCAATATTTCATTTATAAGTATATAATAAATTAATTTATTCTTGAATCTGTATCGTATGAAATCATGTTTATTAATGATCATTGGCTCAGCAGTTTACTTTCATGCAGGTAGTTATGAATTTTTCTTTTTTCAAAATTTACTAATTATGTGGGTGTATTGCTTTGCGGGTGTATTGCTTTATACACAATATTATCAATACAATGGTCATATTTTAAGAAGTTTCAATTTTTTTTTAATCCATTCTCACAATATTTTCAAAATAATGGAAATAAAGTTCCATTTACAATAATTTTAAACTGAAATGAGACCAGAGTGTTGGTTATTGCCCCAATTACTGGCTTCTGTAGATCATATAGTTAACTTATATGAAGTAATGTCATAGTTTCTAGACTCTTATTCATTCAAGTAGAAATGAAGGTGTGAATCTTAAACTAAAGTCAGGCAAGCTATTAATCTTGATTGTAATTAAGGCTGACTATTTATCAGAAGCTTTTCTCTCCAGAGAACATCACGTCTTTTGTGTTTTGATATCTCCTGACATTCTGGCAAAGGGGAAATGCTATTTATTCTCATATTTTCTATATGATTGTTGATTGTGCAGTCTAGAAACTTTGATCATATAATGAATATAGTGTCATTGATTTCTATGGAAATTGTTAGAGAAATTTTCTGAATGTACCGGTAAATATCAGGCGAAAGTGTAGAATTTATTCTATCATAGAAGGAAAACTGGCATTTTAACTCTTGACTAATCTTTCTGAACTTGTATACAATGGACTTGCCATGTTTTGAATTTGGAACATTCCAATTTCCATTTGAATTTTAAAGGAACTCCATTGAGGTTCTTTATTAAAATTGACATGAGGAGACAGGAAATATTTTTTTTAAAGTTTTGTGTACCATTTGATGTAGGTCTGAACCAATATCTTTTCTGCATGTTTTCAAGACATTTTCTGTCACCCCATTTTTTCAGAATAATCATTTCTATTGTGCAAAATGACCCAAAAATGAAAAACATTGCAATGCTTTTCAGGCAAATAGGGGCTAAGAATATTACACTATACTGATTTTCAAGTTAATTCTGAGTACAAATAAATTTCTTTATTATCCTTAGCAGATTTTTTCCATTTTAAGTGCTTCACTGGAACTATGTAAAAAGTTGCAAATTTTATGTTTTAAGGGTGTTTTTACTTCAGTTGAGCTCCTTTAATAGATTTAGGTAACAAAATACAAACATTAAGCTACCAACAGTTTAGAGCCTTGTCAGACTGTATAGATGTGCAAACACTACCATGCACATATCACTTTTAATCAAACATTTATTTCTAAGTATGCATGAGCTGCTAAATTAATACTCCCAAGATAATTCTAGGAAACTGTTTATCTTGACAGATATTTATGCTCATGATGCATTTTAATTATTTAAAGTGGAAAATAAATGGTTGCCTTTTGTTACAGGTTTTCATTGTTTGGTCTGTTTTATACATACTAGTAAGTGGTTTAAGTTAGTTTTACTATAATCAAGGGGCAGGACGTGAAGTGGTTGCACACTTGGTTCAAGCGAGCGAATTGGTTGCAAAC